TGCTCGTGATTATCTTCTGCCATGACCAACTTCTGAGCGTATGGTCTGGTTCCATCAGAAGACCTTGGTATTACTGAGTTCCTACAGGATTTTGTAAGAAGAGGCAGTGCTCATTGCTGGCTATGGGAGAAAGCTGAGGTGAGCCATGGCAGCTCTGGGAGGCGAGTTTGATTTACTGTGTTGTGGTGTTGAGGGAGGTAATAGATACCAGTGTGGAGCTCGCTTCCATTACTGTTATTTTTGCTGCCAGTGTATCAACATGTTAGCAAATATCTGCATAAATATGGGGGTATGATATGTCCTGAAAGCATTGCTGGAGTTTCCAATTCCACTTCTGTATTGTTGATGGTTACTTACATAGCCAGTAAGCTGAGCACCAGCGGGATCATCCTGCTGGAGATGGATTACCTCTGTGAAATGCTATAGAGTCAATGAATGAATTTGTTTCTGAGATATTTGGGCTGTACAGGGTTGCCAACCATATACTGAAAGAGGAATATTTAGTCCCAGATCTGCTGCAGGTAGCCAGATGCACAGACTGGGAGCATGAGAGTACATCGTGATTATTTGGTGTAGCTTGAAGCACAAGGAGCTTTCTAAATCTTGCAAACTAAATTTGATTCCTACATAGAAATTAGAAGCCTTCAGAAGTTGGAATGTGTTCTTAAGACAACTTTCATCTTATTTTAGACGAACGTCTCATTAGGTCACTCCTCTTTCTGTTCTGAAGCTCGCACTGCCGCAACATCATAATTAAATGGGATTCATTTTCCATTTTTAACATATATTGTTTGATGGTTGTTTTGTTTTGTTGGGTTTTTTTAAGACAGTCTACTGGAATAGCTGAACTTGGAATGGTAAGAAGAAGATTGCTCTTCACCAGAGAATCGAAGGAATTGTACCAATATTTATTCCATTTCTATAGCTGGCAATTGGTTTCAGGTTCATGTCTGTGGGCAATCAGCCGTGTCTGTCTTCTAGTTAAGGAAAGCCTCTGATGTGATCTCCAGTTAATCACCATGATCTTTTGAGGCTTCATAGCTGCTGAAATAATGGGAATTTATCCTTTTTATTACAGTGTTAGTAGTGATGGGGTTTTAGCATATATTGAATATTGCACAGGATGCTAAAGTTTGGTAACTCTTTATATGAGACCTCTCTACCCAGGCTGATCAGTGGGATTGGGTGGATGATGCTGCAGTGATCCCTTCTCTAGGTAGGGGTCATATTGATTTTAGTTCTGGAGGAAAAGGAACGGGAAGGGGAGATGAATTTATTGGTAGCTAGTCCTTAACAACTGGAACTCCTGGGCACTTGGGCCTTCAGTATCATTGTTAGCTTGTCTTCAGATCTCCCTGCTGCCATGTGGCAAGGCACCTAGCTTACTAATTACTGCACTGATTGATTCCTAGCAGCTAAAATTGCTGAAGCAGCCAGATCAGCAGGAAAATAGGTTGTTGAACTTGAGATTTGCTGCAGCACTGAGCATTGATATATTGTTATCTACAGCTGCCTGCATTTCTTTAAGGAGATAAATAGTGGTATAAGGTGCATTATGTGTTAATGACGATTGCCTGACTAGATTTGACTTCACTGAAAAGCTGTCTTGGAGAAATCTGTATGATTATTATTATTTTTTTTTTCTCTGAAAAACCCTATTTTCCTGTATGGAGTTTTATAATTTATTTCTACAAGCTTGTCTTTCTTGGGTATAACACTGGATTTCATACAGTTCTCAACTGCATGAAGTTGAATTTGGGCTATTCTTCTAAGCAAGAAGTTGCTTTCCCTGCAGCTGTTTTGAAGAGATCTCTGGACTAGAGAATGAAGGCATTTTCTGGGATGCCTGTAGCATGACCTGAAGTCTTCTGTTTTCCCTATTCGTTTCTTCTTCAAGGTTTTCACTATTCTTAATTCCCTTGTTCCAATCTTACAAACGCTTTCGCAGAATAAAAAGCACTGGTGTTTTACAAGGGGCATCCTTCAAAGAGAGAGCTGGCACAGATGAGTGAGCATCGCCCAGATTTGTCTGCTGCTTTCATGTGCTTTCCTGATGGGTCACTGGAGCCTGACCTCGTTTATGCTGGCCACTCGTGCTCTTAGAAAGCTAACTGGAGGAATTGAAGGCAGCAAAGCTGGTAGGACTTGAGAATGAAATCAGGTTTGGGAACATCTTTGTGCCTTTCTTAGCCTCTCATTAGGTATAAAATCGTTGTAATAATTAGACTTGCATGTTCCAGGGTAGATCTTGACCTTTTATTGGATCCCATCAGTATATCTTCATTTAATGAAGTTCTTGTTCCCTCTGCCTGGGAATGTCCAAGTGTGATGCTGAGAAATTCTCAAGAGTTTGATCATTGTCAGCTGTTAGGAGCTGGTGCCCTTGTGTACTTGTGTCAGGAATTCCAGGCTGAGTGAATGGGAGCAGACACCATTGCTTGGGTACTCAAGCAAGGTTGCTTCTCTGTGCTGGCGTGGCTGTAAGTATTTGGACATCTCTGGCCCTTAATGTTGTCCGGTCTCTGGTGCAAACTTCAAAACTTCAGCTGCCCAGTTTGTCCACCTAAAGTCTCCCACCTAGCAATTTAGCTTCACTTAATTGGTAGAATAGAGTAAATCTTCGCTATATTCGGCTCCTGTTTATTTACTTTAATTATAGTAAATTTTGTCAGAAATAAAATGCTGTTGTGCTTCATGTCATGAAGCTTATCATAGTGAATTTCATGTTCTTTTGTGGATATAAATCCTGGCTCCTTGTGGCAGCCATAAGGTCAAGTGCAGAATACTGAGCTCTGCTCCTGTGTTAAAGCTGGCAGCAGGTATCAGCATGGCTGATGTGTCCAGAGAGCTGGCCACAAAGGGGCTCTTGTCTGCAAGAGCCATAGGATGGCTTAGGTTGGATCACTGAGCCCCATCCCTGCCATGGGCTGGCTGCCCCCAGCTCAGGCTGCCCAGGGCCCATCCGTGTTCTGGGGCACCTCCAAGGATGGGGCACCCACAGCTCTGGGTAGCAGTGCCAGCACCTCACCACTCTGAGTGAAGAATTACCCCCAACATCTCACCCTAATTTCCTCTCTTGTGGTTTAAAACTGTCCAATGTCCTATTGCTATCAGTGTCTTCATCTTTTTTATAAGCTCTCTTTATGTACTGAAAGGTCGCAATGAGGTCCCCTTAGGGATGACTACTATTAGCTTCCGTGATAGCTTCTGTGAGATGCTGATATGAACTGTTGCCTTTCTGAGCCTAGATCTATGGACAGTACCCAAGCACTGCTGTTTTCCATGTGCTCATCTGCCTTGACTTAAGCCCTTGTTGTTTGACATAAGGGTCTCTATAGCTCTTTAAGGAGTTCTTAACCAGCACCGTTGTGGAGGCAGGCCTCCTTCTGGACTTGTCTTTGATATCCTTGGTAGAGGATAGGCATTGCTGTCTTCATTTCAGTGTCTTTCTGTTTTTTTACTGACAGCTCCAATCAGCTTGTTGCTCTACTTGTACATACGATGAGCTTTTAATCACAGAATCCCCAAATGTCTCAAATTGGAAGGGATGCACAAGGATCATCGAGTCCAACTCCCGGCTCTGCAGAGGACCACCCAGAACTCAAACCCTTGGTTTGACAGCTTTGTGAGCTCTAGCAGCTTGGGGCCATGACTGCTGCCCTGGGGAGCTTGTTCCAGCACTTGACTACCTTTTCCAGGACCCTTTTCCTAATGCCCAACCATTATGGTAATACTATGTTGTATTGTTCTAGCTGTACTAAGTGAGTTAGGGATTCAGTCTTTAGGGGTGCACTAAGGCAAAAGTAGAATAGGAGGCTTTAAAAAGGGGAATATTCAGCCATTTAGTATTAGACCAGAGGTGAGCTGTGGCCCTGGTGAGAAATTTGCTGCTTCTTTTGCACATCCCTGCAGTGCTATACTCACAGCTCCTCCTGGAGACTCTGGGTTTTTCCTCCATGGTAAGCCCAGAATAGCTGTGTCCTTGAAGCACACATGGAGGAGATGTCCCAAAAGCTTTTACATCTCCAGTCCAGCAACCAGAAAATACGGCTACAAAAAAACGAACTCTCAAGTCTGAGCTTAGTGAATCTGGAGAGCTGGGGAGGCAGACAAAACAAGGGCAAGGATTTGGCTCTGGGTCGGTGCTGGCAGCAGCGCACAGCTTTCCTGCTGTCCTTCAGCTGTCCTTTGCGGGCAGCTTTGAGGTGTGGATGGAAAAGCAACGTCTCACTTCTCATTTTTAAACTATTTCCCCATGACCATTGAATCAAGCGCTGTGCAGCCTTGAGTCACCGAGCCTTATTCACTGTGGAATTTACTGAGACAAACAGCTACGACATGCTGCTGCTATTTATAACGTTATCTCATTGTCTGTGGGTTACATGATGCTGTGTGGTATGAGGGCTTGGAGGGGAGACCCTCTGCAGTGTGCAGCGTTTCCAAGCTTTTTTACTGCACTGTCCATGTCATTGATGAAGGTATTAAAGAGTATCAGTCCCAGCACTGACCCCTTCTGGGACACCTCTCATCTCCAGCTCCGTTCAGACCTGGAGCTATTGACTGCTGCACTCTGGACTTAATCCTGCAGCCAGTTCTTCGTCCATTGAACAATCCATCAAATCCACATCTTTCCAATTTGGTGAGAAGGATGTTGTGGGGTACCGTGTCAAAGGCCTTACTGAAGTTGAGATGGACGACGTCCGTGGCTCTTCCCTTCTCCATTGATGCAGTGACACCATCACAGAAGGCTAACAGGTTGGTCAAGCAGGATTCATCCTTGGTGAAGCCATGCTGGTTCTCACATATCACCTCCTTTCTGAAATATCTGACTAGTGATTTTCTTAGGAGCTTACTTTACATGAGGGGCCAGTAGTTAAAGTCTCATTTTGACCTGGAAAAGTTGACTTCTCCAAAAAATGAGTTATGTGTAACTTTAAATGTGGCCAGGGTATCCCATCAGTGTTGCTGCAGCTGTCACTGGAACCTTTTCTCAAAGCAGATGTGAAATCGATACCTGCAAGATGCCTTCAGCTCAGAAGAAAACAAAGCTTATTTCTGGATCTGAGCCTTTTGAATTGGTTCCAGAATGCCCGAAGGAGTTGGGAGTGGGGAATTCCCTGCTAACTCTTGGTAAGTTTTACTGGAAAATGAATCAGAAAGAATACTATAAAGAAGCAGTCTGCCTTCAGCTAGTGAGCGTGACTGACCTACGTCAGTGTGATGCTGTTTTCCAAGTACTGCCCCCCCAAAAAGAGTCAGAATATGATAGGAGTAGTGGAAGGTCAGCTTCAAAAACAGGGAAACGCCTTCAAAGGATCCTCTCATTGTGAAACAATAAAAGAATAAATTTTGTTTGGTTATGGTTCTACAGAAACACGGGCTTCATTTGTGAAGACACGGTGACTACATTTAGCTGTTCCAACAATCAAAGCAATTAATGCTGTAAAGGGAAGAGATTTTAACTCTGACTTTAGATGTAAAAATTTGCAGTGGGTAATATGAGAGGAGAAGGGTGTGTGAAGGGCACGTAAGGGGGAAGGAGGATGTAATATAACATCAGACAACAGTTTGTGGTGCAGCGGGTGGTTTTGTGAAGGAGGGTGGGCAGCCCTGCAAGCAGCTGGCTGTTGGCCTTTGCAGCCAGCTTGAGCTAAGCACTAATGACAACTATCCCATAGATTGTCTGTCCACCTGGATGCTTACAGGACAGTGATCTGCTGGGACAGCAATCTTGTTGCAGTTGACATCAGAGCAAAAATCACTTCACCCTTGAAAAGCATGTTAAGTGCTCGGATTTCTTTGACAGTAAAGAGCCATGTTAATGCCCTGGCTTTCTCACTTTGCTTTTGTTTTAGCAAGCAAAATGCGAAGGCATTAAACTACTCTTGTATCAAAGCATAACGGAAGGTGGCTGGGAAATGTATAATGGCAGCTGGATTCCATACACAGATTGCTGGTGAGGTTGAAGTTTGTGTGGGTTGAATTTGCAGCTTATTGGCTGGCTTGTTTTTTTTTTTTTTTGACGTCTCTTTTGTTATGGAGCCTGCTGTCATCTCCCTGGAAACTGAAACAGAGCAGCAGTCAGAGAAGTAGGAGAGGAGCAGGTTTGAAGAAAAAGAAAAGTGGGGGATGGAGACCATGTAGTAAGAGTACACCTGAAGGAAGAAGTTGTTTTTTTGAGTTAATAGATATATATATTTTTTACAGTAACCAAACTCTTTTTAGCAAACTTCTTCTGTGTGAAGAGATGAGTCTAAATGCAGCCATTGCCACAGTGCTTTTTCAGCTCTGAGATCATGGTGGTGAAGCTATGTACCTTGAGCTGGCTCACCACGCAGCCCTGCCTTGTCTTTGTGCAGAAGTGCCTCTGCCACACGTGCTTCAAATCCTCCTGGTCCTGTCTGTGTCCTGCAGCAGCTTAGTGACAGTTCTAGGCTTACTGCTTTTGAGACACGAAAATGCATATGCTATGTTGGTGATTCGAGTGATATATTTTTAATAACTGTGAGTGCTGTTGTTCCTATGTGCCAGGCGAAGCTTTTATGTTTCAGAAAAGACCAGGGCTCCCCATGGAAGTACAGTGGTAGGCTTGGGAGGATGCTGTGACTTTGTAATGAGTAAGCACTGTGGGTTTGTGCAGCACGTTCAAGGTGTGTGTGTGTATTCACAACCCATGGGTAATTAACAGAATCCCAGTTTCATTTTCCTTTGATTGACTCAATGTGAGGATTCAGAGTGGGCCTGGCATTCTGTCTGCTTTCTTTGTGTTAATTTTTCTTTTCTTTTGGCAATTAAACTGAACTTTGTGTAAGTCGTCTCTCGCATCCCCGTGACAGAACAAAATGTTGCTGTAAGAGCTACCCAACTGTGGAAATGAAGATCAAGAAACAACATCAACTTTCTTGCATGTTATTTTCACAGCTTTGCCTGATGTTCTATCAAGGACAGCATCCTCAAATGGTTGAATGAGACCTCTTCAAGCTGACACTGCATGAGGAAGTTGGATATAAAATAAGCCCTTCTCGGTATATCTGCAGCCAGACTTTTTTTGTTTGACTGACAAACTGACTGACAGTATTTAGTATCACGTTCTTTGCATTTCCTTTTGGGTGTTGTGTGCTGCATGTATGAACCATGTGATGCAGTGTGGGAACATGGATGTACCTGAATTTTGGCCTCCACGCACAGCCTTCTATTTTGTACCTGAAGCATACAGAGCAGTTGCAAGGGCTGGGAGGAGGGGGCTGTTCTCAGTGAGCTGCTTCAGCAGAGACTTTCTGCTCACTGCTGTAGCCAAAAGAGGAGAACAGAGCTTGGGCTGGTGAAAACCAGGACTGCCATGCCCGGCCCATCATCTCCCCTCCAGCTCAGATGCTGGCATACTGGATGTGGAAGAAAACCTTTTGTTGTGAAAGCAAGGCTGGTGGGAAAGCTGCTATCTGCTTATCAGCCCAGCTGTGTACAGTGCTGGTACTGATGTACCCTGCCAGCTTATCCCATTTCAAAGGGCTGAGAGCAAAGCAGTAAGGAGCACAGAGGAGGGCAGTAAAGATGAATTACTGGCTGCTATTGTACGAGTGATTGAGCTGATTACAGCTATCTAGCCTTGAACAAGATCTGATAGGAGACTACCTGATAAAATAGGTGAACAGCTCACTCTTTCTGCCAAGACAAGAACTAGGGGACATCAAATGGAAGCAGTAGATGCCAGATTCAAAGTGAAAGATGTAACTCGCTTGGCACAGGTCTGGAGGTGCTGGGAGTTTGAGAGCTGAACGTAGGATTCCACACATTGCATAGGAGGCAAATATACTTGAGCTCCAAACAGAGTCAGGAAGCCCCTAAACCACAAACAGGTGCTTTGGGAGAGGTTATTTAGGGGAAGCTTCACTGCAAGGTTGTCTTATCTTTGCATTCTCTCCTGGTTAATCATACTGGGTGATGATGGGAAGGGACTGCTGGGCTGACTTGCCTTTTAGCCTCAGTGTGGCTCTTCTCATGTAAAGCTGGCAAAAGGAACCCAGTTTTCATGAGCAAAACTGCTTTGGCAGTTCTTTTCTATGAGAACTATAACTTTAATTATTGCATAGTGACTTGTAGCAGCATTTAATCCAGTGTTCTGGTTGCTTTGCTGCTGCAGTACAAGGGCACATGTGAGGTGTGAGTTTGCCCTGTGAACAGTGCCCTGGCAATACAACCTCTGAACATCTCTCTTTACACATTTTTGTTTATCTGCAGTCTTCGTTTTCCATCTCAAAAAAAAAGTTGAATTGCATCTGCTTGTTAAAACAAAAAAAAAGTGAAATCTGATCTTGTATAGCGTTATTGCAAGTTATTAATGAAAAGAGTGGGACCTTTCCACCCTCTCTACTTGCTTTAATTATACCAGGAGATGGGGGGCAGGTGTCAGTCCCTACTTCTGTGAGCAGTGCATCAATTTCACCCCGACTATGGGAAAAGCAACAGAATGGCATAAAAGCATAGGATCATCTGCAGTGATGCTGACTGTGGGATGGCTTGCAGGCCTTGCAGTCTGCATTTAGTGTGCTTTCTGAAATCCCAGGCTGGAAATCCCTTCTTTATAAAGATATGTCACTGTTATGAACCCTTATCCATGCTTTACAATGGTTATTTCTTAAGAGGATTATGTATCTTTGTATCACCCGTACTGAAAAGAATATCAAGCATGTGTCCCAGGGTTTTGTTGTTTCCTGAGCTTTGTAAATACTGTTAAGAAATAAAATGCACTGGTTTACCGTAATAAATCCTAATACTTCAGGAGATAATAAGCACTATTGGAGGTTATTTGCTTCAGAAGACGGGTGAGTTACCTTGCAGCATCTGGTGGGCTGTTGTCCAGTACACGCTGTGGGGTGGGATGCTGCCTTGGCTATTTAAAAGCTCATTAAAATTGCATCTCCCATGCTGTGGTTCTGTCCTTACCCCCTCCAGCTCGCTGTCCAGGCTTCTGTGAGCAAGCCAGAATTGATCACAGCAATTAGCTGAGCCCAGGGGAGATTTCTAAATGCTAATGTGTATAGTTGTTTGGTTGTTGGTTTTTTTTTTTTTTTCTTTTTGCTGTTAGCTCATGTGTTACTGCTAGTGATGGGTGCTTCCTCACTTTAATGCATTCATTCTTCTCCTCTGTCTTTAACAGTTATCTGTAGACTGTTCTGTAGACAGTGGAATCGTAGAATCACAGAATGTCTTGGGTTGGAAGGGACCTCAAGCATCATGAAGCTCCCAACCCCCCTGTCACAGGCAGGGCCACCAACCTCCATATCTAATTCTAGACCAGGCTGCCCAGGGCCCTATCCAACCTGGCCTTGAACGCTTCTAGGGACAGGGCATCCACAGCCTCCATGAGGAGCCTGGGTTGGACCAGTTTGGTTTTGCATTCCTGACTCAAAACTGGACTGGTGATATTTCCACTAGTGGTAAACTATTGCTTGCTTTTTTCCTTCCCCTTAACTGTGTGCAGCTACTCAAAAGACACATTAAATGTCACTTGCCAGCTTTCTAATACTTGAGTGGTTGTATGCTTGGAAAAAAGAGAAGTGTCATTCAGCAAAGTAAAACTGCACAAATGCATGAAGAAGTCTGGTGGTTTGTGGCTGCATGCAGGGAAAATAAGTCTGTAAGCGGAGAGAAATGGCCCTAAAAACTCCAGCCTGGCACAGACTTGTAAAGGAGTCATGTTGGTAGAGCTGTTTCCTGGTTACAATTTCATTTAACTGTCTGTACCTTGAAGCAAGTCCAATAAAAAGTAAACATGCAAAGGTTTGGTCAAAAGGCAGCAGCAAACTCTTCCAAACCTTAAAATCATGATTGATGACATAGTAGTAAGTAGCTTCTCCATTCTTCAAAAGCTTTGGTCTTTTTTCCTGGGGAAGAAGCACTTGATGTCCTTCTGATGTTTGTATTATGAATGGTTTTCTGTTTCTTAACCAGAGCTCAGCAATAACACTGGTTCTGAAGAAATGGAAACCCAACAGTAAGTTGTGGCTGAACAGCTGAAAATCTGAACTGATGTGTTGGTTCTGTACTGTTGACCCAATGTGGCAGCTCTGATCACAACCATTACATCTCACCTTGTGAACGTGGTGCTCGCTGTGGAAAAAGGGGATAGAACAAATTAAACCTTTGGTATTTCAGGCTGGAGAATGTGATGGCACAGTGCTGTCATTATGTGTTCAAACAGTTCCTCCCCTTGAGTATCACAAAAATAAGCCCATCTTACCTGAGGCTAACTGGAATATTTTCCTGTAAGGCATTAAAGCTCTTAACCGTTTCTGACATTGATAAAACATCACTAAATGTCTTCTGCAAATCTAAACACACAGGAACATCCTGCACCAAATTTTCTGTTTCAGGAAAATACTGAAGCAGCTTGGTGCGTTCCCAGTTGGCACCTGTCCCATCAGGGCTTGCTGGTAGCTAGTTTGCTGGACTGCTGTATAGCTAGCCTGTGGATATCCAGGGTTTTAATCCTTTCTACCTCTAGAGCCAGACCCTTTTTTACACTGTATGTATAGAACAAAATGTGGAATACCCTCAGTGCCCAGTTTTTTGGGCTTTTCGAAGGGTTTGTGTCACTGCAATGTGAGAACAGATATTTCAGCTAGTGAGCACTGCTTTTTATCTTTTCTCTCTACGTTTTTAAGGCACCCCTGGTCCTGTACTCAGCCCCTGGTGTGATGTGGTCAGGAGGAGCCCTTGCTCGTGCTGCCCCATGATGCATTCCAGGGCTGAATTCTGGAGGAAAGGTCTCTGTGTGCAGGCAGACTTGTGCCTCCTATTCCCTTCTCAGTATTCAGCAGGCGTCCTGTGTGCGTGCCAGCCCTTCTTTGGAGGTTAGAGAAGAGTAAGGCTTAATAAAACTCTCAGAAGTCAGAGTGACGGTGGTAAAGGCCACACCAACAGCAGGGGAGGAGCTGGTGGTGACCCCTGAGTTCTCAGCAGGAGCCTGTCCTTACCTCTCCTCTTGTACCTGGGGATTTATTTCATACTTGTGTTCACTTCCCCCTCTCTCTCCTCTCCAGATGAATCTTGGTCTTTTGACTCAGAACCTGGGTTGTCCTTCTACTTGCATACACTTATAAATTCCTCGCTCTGTTTGTGCTATCTTTGATGTGAATACCACTTCCTCTGTTGCCACAACATCGAGACTATAAAAAGTACTCTGAAAGCATCAGAAACATTCTCTAGAAGATATTTAATTAAACCCATAGTTTCCAGTGTGCCTCGAACACGTATATAGTTCCAACTCATGACACTGTGATAATAAGATGACAGTTCTAAAATGTGGTGCTTTGGCTAAACCTCCTCATCTTCTTTTTTCCACTACGGGGGCTCTGGATGCTACAGCCTTCATATGGTAGATGAATTCCTTGGCAATTTGCTCTGCTGGCAGTCTACACCCATCAACCATTGAAGAGCTGGGCGTTTATGTTCAGTTCCTGTAGCCTTGTTGTCCCTTGTCACCGCAATGGGGTAAATGGTTCTTGTCTTGAGAATTTGTAAAAAACCCTAATGTAATTCTTGTTTGGAGATGCCTTACCATGAGTGAGGCCTTCAACATCTGTTTCTGTATCCCCTTCATTGCAAGTGGAATCCCATTTTTCTCTGGAACTGAAGTGTTCCTCGTTACTCAAGGATTCAGAGGTGAGCAATGGAAGGGCCTTGGTTCTGATGGTGGAGCTGTGAAGCAGTTCCTCTGCTGATGGGAGCAGATGGAGGTCCTGGAGCTGGAGCCATGTGCTACATGGTCTGGAAGTGCCCCCAGCAGCTCAACTCATTGTGTGGGGGTAAGAAAAGCACCAAAAATGCACAACATGAGGATTACTTTGGGATCGACAACTGTCAAACCACTCGCAGAAGACTAATCAGGTTTGGGACTGATGAGCGTGGAAGCGATTACAGCTTTCCTTAAGCTCTGAGGCCTTTGTCGTTTCATTTCCCTCCCATGGGCCATAGGATTAGTTTGTCAGCAAACATATTGCTTCTCAACTTGCTGTTTGCAAAAAGGAGAGCAAGACCTGAGCCTATGTATCCTCCTGTAGCAGAAATGCTAAGTCATGGCCTGGAGCAGTGATTGAGCACCTGGTGGGAAGGCAGGGCCAACCCAGGGGAGCTCAGGTGTGTGCAGTGAACCTTAGTGATGGAAGGGATAGAGCCAGGATCCACTCCTCATTTAAGGGCTGGTAGTGGAGGCGAGGGTATTTTTCTGGAGATCCCTGCCTTCCAAAGGTCTTCCAAAGGGTAAGCAAGTTTTCTTTTGTTTCTGCGTCTGCATCATCTACGTTTGGGCTTGTCCTCGTTTGCTGCAGCCTAGGATTGTGCTGCTGTTACTGCGGTGCTATCCATTACATTACAGCATCACACTTTCCTTCCCCTGCTTTCACCGGTGACTGTAGCCAGTGAAATCTGTGCCCAGCAGAAGCTGAATGGCCCCAGCTGGTGCTGGCAGTGATTTGCATGGTGCAGGTCAACGTGCCCTGCTCCAGCTCCTATTTCTTGCAGGCAGAAGCAGCCCCTTGCCTCTGGCATCCTGCTTAGAGTGAGGTGCTGCTTTAAGCCTGAGTACTATAAATGTCTGCTTGGGATAATAACATATTTCGTGATTGTGATCATTCAGCTAGATAATTACTTGAAAATATTGGGGGTGGGGGCAGTATTTATTTCTGTAAATTGAAGCAATTAGATTGCAACCTTCTGCTCAGCTTCATAAATGTGTTGGTGAAGCTCTTCCATCCCACAGATATGCAGCTATGTGAGTCTGGCCTGGTGGGTGCCCTGCCTTTGGCTCTGGGCAACCCCAGTGCCCTTGTTCTCACCAGAAGCTCTGTTTCTGTACGAGTGGGTTTTATTTCTTTCAAGCACTGTGCTGGCTTTATTTCTTCAATGCCGTGGATTAAACACCCTTAATCATTAATGATTCTGATTCAAAACGCTTGGCATAGATTTCTGAGCTACGGGTTTTGATCCTAAATGAAGCAATTTTTCTTCCCATGTGGTATTTCCCATCTTTGGATAAGATGCTTTGAAGTCAAGCAAATGCAGTTTAACTTTGAAAACAGCGGCGATGTACTGTTTATGACTGCAGTGTTTCTCTAAGTTCTTTTCTGATAAAACAGAATGACTTTTTTGAAGGTGATTCTTTCTGCAGATACTACAGTATGTTAAAAAAAAAAAAATGCTACCATGGGAGGGAGATTGGTTGAAAAACTCAAGTATTAATTTTTCATTTCTGCTGTATCTTTGAGACCTCTCCAATGATACTCTTTTCCTTCTCTTTCATCCTATTAAGAGAAGTCATAGACCATGAGGTTGTCCCTTTTTCGAACCTTGACATGATGGCGTTTCTTCTCAGCAGATTAAATCAGAGTACATCCTATATTCACAGCCCATTGCTCTGATTAGCTTTCTTTGGCGTAACTAAAAAGCCAGTGAATAATCTGTCCAACCTCTAGGAATGGCTTACATTTGTTTTATTTTCAGATCTGTGTCATTTCTGATGATGAAAGTTGTCTCCATACTCTCCCATTGCGTGGTTGCAGGCAGCTTTAGGACTTTGTCATGCACCTTATTTAGACTGAACAAAGCCAGCCTTCCTTGTCTCTCTCAGCTTTGTTATCTTTGGCATTTTTGTAGGAGATGCAAATGATCTGGAGGACTTTTTGCTTTTCAGGTGCCTCTTTGATTTTCAAGGTGAAAGGGAATATCCACTGGAACAGCACCAATTGGCATAGGGCTGCTCAGGCCTTCTTGC